CACTCTCTCTTAAAAAAAAAAAAAAAAAAAAAAGGGTGGGGGAACAACAAAGGTGTACATCTCTGAAAGGCAAAGTGCAGACACCCTTCACCTCTCAGAGAAGAAAAAGACTTGTGATGTATTCAGGATTGAGCTCTCTGATTATATATAGGATTTTCCTGGGAAGAAATATGTAGTTTCCCACGCAAGCTTTTTTAAAATCAAATCCCATGTCAATCATTTGATATTTGGGTTTCAGAATGTTTCTTTTTGGTTAAGCAGTCTAGCCATAAATCAGTTGTGGGCACATTATATAGTTTTTAAGATCTGCTGATATTTAAATTAATTGGTTTTGTTCTAATTTATCTGGTACAAGCATACACTGGAGGTTTTGTTCATCTAACTAAAGAGATAAGAATGGCTAGTCATTCTCACAATTCATAGCAATTCTAAACAAAGCCTTCTGAGGGAAGTCAGAATTGTATCCCTTGCTTCAGGACCCCTAGGTCACACCTAGATTAAACAGATGAAAACTTTGAAAAGGCTTATAAGACTATGCCTCTTCTGAGGTAGGATTTAAACCCCTTTTTCTCCCCTATATGGAGTGACTTTCTGGAAAAGCACTTTGAAAACAGTACAGGACTATGCACAGACGAGAGGAAATACCTTGACTTGGGACCAGCAGGGCCAAAGAGTGAGTAAATCATCCATAGTGAGAGATGTCCATTATGCTAAGCATGGACCATGACTGGCCTGGTGCTATAGAATTGCTGAATCTTCATAGATGAGGACATTGAGGCTCTAAGTCACATTGAGGGTAGGTGACAGGGCTAAGTTCAGGTTTACAGGTACAGCCTTTCAAGCTAGAAAACTCTGGAGACCTGATATGTCCTAGAGAATGGACTATGCCCCCTTTATCTAAGATTGATAGGGGATTTAAGATCTAGTCACATACAACAGCACTCAAGAAAAAAAATTTTAAAAAATTTTATAATATTGAAATGTTTGTTTGAAAACTATCTTCTGTGTAAATTTGATCTTAGAAAACTAGAGTATGGCCACTGATGGATGTGGGTTGTTTGGGGCCTGTAGGGTTCCTAGAGCACTATTTGAAGGCCACTTATCCAGTAGGTTGGCACTTACTGTGAAAAGTTCAGGGGGTGCCATGATGCTTAAGGCTCTGGTTTGGGGTTTGAAGGAACAAAGTAGGATTGTGGCAGTCTCATTTATGAGTTGTTCAGTCTAGCAAAGGGCAGCAGGATTCCAGGCACTGGTGCTCTGGTCTCTCTCCAGTGTACCACCTGCCTTATTTCACCCTCTGGCCAGCAGCCATGGCCTGCCACTCATAGGGTAGAAAATTTATCTTCACCTCTAACAATCAAGTTTAATCTTTAAAGATATAGGTTACAAAGTTGAAAGCTGTGGTATCACTTTCTTTTTTTTTTTTTTTTTTTTGCCCTTATAAAAGGTATCATCTGGTGCATTCCTGTATCAACAAAGATCCTTCAAGTTCAGATCCTGATATAGGATCAATAATAGGTCTGTACTTGGACCCAAAGCAGAGGCCTAGGAGATGATTTACAGTGGAATCATCAAACGGACATCCTTCTCATAGATGTCAGGGATCATTCCCATTGGGGAGCTGACCATGTGTATAGTATTCTTGCCAAACAGCTGGAACTCATAATGGATGAGTTGCTCCCAAAAGCCAGCATTGGGTCGGATGATGGGCCGGCATGACTTGGTCCATGTGTGAGCATCCAGCAGGGACATGGCATGGTACTTCATGAGGTAGGCAAGGCACAAAGTGGCTGAGCGGCTCACGCCAGCGGCACAGTGTAGCAGTGTACGGCCCTGCTTCATTTCCACACTGTGGATGTGGTCGGCAATGGGGTCAAAGAAGTCATAGAGCTTGGAGATGGGTGCGTCAGCCACAGGCACCTGTGTATACTGGATATCCTCATAGATGGTATTTACCACCTCTACTGAGACATTGATGACTGAAGTGATCTGGTTGCTGGACAGCAAGAGCTTGTTGTTGGCAGCTACACCATTGCTGATGTACAGGCTTCTGGTGATCTGTGAGAGGCCGCTGATTGAGGGCTGCCGGAACTGAACTGGGAAGGTGCACAGGGGTGCTGTCATCAAGGCGGTGGGTCAGCAATTGGTGACACATGAGGCCTGCATTTTTCTAAGCTGTGTCCCTGGAAAACT